CCATTCATACAGCACTCTACTAGATCTTTACAAAGTATAATCTAGTTCAAGTTTACTGTCATTCGCATCACATTTGGTACATGAGGTGGAACACAACTGTTTACTCAGGGTCTCAGTTACACCGAAAAATAGCAAAACTATAAACTATAAAAAAGAAACAGTATATAAGGATCTAAGACAAACACTAAGTTATATGCTAAACAAACGCTAAACGGTACGCTAAAATATCTAATATATACGCTAAGCACTAATAATGTAAAACAATACAGCGTATCAACAGCAGCCTTAACATGAGTCTGTGTGAGCAGATGGGTATGAATGAATACAGCAGCAGGAGATAATCAGCATCATATGATCAGCAGCATGGATAATCAGCAGCACAGATATCACCAATTAAAGAGGCCTTACAGTGATTTTTTTGGATTTTTTTATCAGTGTTTTGGATCATATTCATAAACCGATGGGACACACATCGAAGGCAATGAGGGGTTCAGTGTCTGGCCCAGGGACACTTCAGCATGTGACTGCTGGTGGAATCAAACCCACAACATCGGAGGACTGCTCTAACCACTCGGTCACAGCTGCCCCAAGCAATCCACCCTTTCTGATTGAGGACCATGGCCTCAGATTTGGAGGCGCTGATTCTCATCCCAGCCGCTTCACACTCGGCTGTGAACCTCTCCAGTGAGAGCTGAAGATCACGGCACGATGACGCCAACAGGACCACATCATCTGCAAAGAGCAGAGATGAAATCCTTAGCACGGTGGCACAGTTGGTAGAGCTGCTGCTTCTTAGCAAGAAGGATACCCCGGTTCAAATCCCGGTCCGGAGTCTTTTCTGGGTGGTGTTTGCTTGTTCTCTCCGTGCATGTGTGGGCTTTCTCTGGGTACTCCGCTTTCTTCCCACAGACTAAAAGCATGCATGTTTGATTGGTAACTCTAAATTGTCCCTAGGTGTGAGTGAGAGAGTGAATGGTTGTTTGTCTCATTTGTCTCTGTGATGGACTGGAGACCTGTCCATGGTGTCCCCCACCTCTCACACAGTGATAGCTGGATATGGGCACCAGTGACCCTCGCGACCCAAGAAAGGAAGAAGCGTGTAAAGATAATGGATGGATGGATGGATGGATGGATGGATGGATGGATGGATGGATGGATGGATGGATGGATGGATGGATGGATGGATAGATGGATGGATGGATGGAATCCTGAGGCCACTGAGTTGGACTCCCTCCGTCCCTTTGGCTGCACCGAGAAATTCTGTCCATAAAATTTATGAACAGAATCCAAGACAACGGGCAGCCCGGGTGGACTCCAACTCCCACCCTGAAGGGGTCCGACTTACTACCAGCAATGCAAACCAAACTCTTGAATTGCTTGTATAGGGACCGTACAGCCCGTAGTTCCCCACGGAGCACCACCCACAGTGCATCTTGAGGAACACGGTTGAACGTCTTCTCCAAGTCCACAAAACACATGTAGAGTGGATGGGAAAACTCCCATGACCCCTCAAAGACCCTAGTGAGGGTAAAGAGCTGGTCCAGTATTCCACAGTCAGGACAGAACCCACATTGTTCCTTCTGGACCTGAGGTTCGACCAGTGTTCGCACTCGCTTCTCCAGTACACCTGAATAGACCTTACCAGGGAGGCTAAGGAGAGTGATGCCCCGTATAATTGGAGCACACGCTTCAGTCCCACTTTTTGAAGAGGGGAACCACCACCCCATTCTGCCAATCCAGTGGCACTGCCCCGATGTCCACGGGATGTTGCAAAGGTGTGTCAACCAAGACAGCCCCTTAAAATGAAGAACCTTA